TTCTTTATTCCTCTGTTGATGGACACTTAGGTTGCTTCCATGTCTTGGCTATTGTAAATAGCGCCGTTATGAACGTAGGCATGCATGTATCTTCTCGAGTTATAGTTTTCTATGGATATATGCCCAGGAGTGGGATTGCTGGATCACATGGCAACTCTATTTTTAGTTTTTTAAGGAACCTCCATACTGTTCTCCAGCTCTAAATTCTTTTTAAGCCTTGAAGTCTCTGTGTATTTTTTAATATCCCATCTATTTTCCCACCGTAGCTTCTCACCGTCCTGGTTTTTCTCCCTCTTATCTTCCCCAGCCTCTCCTCTGCAGCCAGAAACCCCCCAACCATCCCCTGCCCTCAATTTAATCATGCTCCTCCCCACTCATTCAGCAGGTGGAACTGAATGATAAAGGACTAGAAGACTGAGGGCAGGGACTGTAATGCTCACTGCTGTATCACCAGGCCTGGCAGGTGTATAGCAGGTGCTCAGTACGATCTGGGGACCTGTGACCAGCACTGCCCTTGCCCTTGGGACCTTACAGCTGTCCTAGCCCCACAGGCCCAGGACCACCAAGGTCAACCCGTAGTCTGACAAATCAGGCCTGTTCACCCAGGACACTGGGAGCCCTGGGCAGCTCAAACTGACAAAGGCAAAGACAGATTTCATAGGACTTTGTGGAAAGGTGGGGTTTTGGTGAAACTTAAGAGAAGCAGCGTTTCAACAGGCTCAGGGCCAAACAGGGCTGTGTGGGAAGCGGCCAGCATCTGGCCTGGGCTGCAGTGTAGACTCGGCTCCCGTTCCCTTGGGAACCAGAGTTAGGAGGCCAATGGGCCATCATGTCCAGAAACCACTTATATGGATCTGCACCTGGGTTGGAAATCCAGGCTGCTTCTCCATCAAAGTTGACTTAAATTCTCAGGCGGGAGCAGGAAGTTTCATTCTGAGTGATGTAATTTCAAACAGTGAAGTTTCTGCTCATCTATGATTTTACAGTTCAAAGTTCTTTTTGAGTGAAACAGTCACTACACAAAAAAGGGGGTGATTATGGCACTTTACAGCTGCAGCTGAGTGTCCTTGAGAAATGTTGTTCCTCGTGAACTTGAGGACAGCAAAACCCAGCAGCTGGTTTCATCTGTGTCTGTTACTCTGCTCGATCCTGTGCTGCCATTTCTCAGTCTTGCGGGCAGGAGGAAGATTTCTGTGCTAACTGTTCCATTGGTTCTGGCTGGGAGATGGGTTGGAGGAGGCAAGGAGGCTGTTATTGGGGTCTGGCCCAGACAGGGGGCCCTGGGGACATGGAGGGAAGTGGGTGGATGCAGGCCAGATCTTGGGGGTAAAACAGATTTAGTGAGTAATGGAACACGGGGAGAGAAGGAGGAGGAAGCATCCAGGATGGTTCCAGTTCTCTGACTTGGGCCTGGAAGGTGGTGGACGGCCCTCAGGAAGGAAGTAAATAGGAGATGCAGTTTTGGAGGGAAGAGTTTGGATTTGGCTGGGCTGAGTTTGAGATGCAACCTGATGGGCGTTAAGGGTCAGAGTGCAGTCTAGACCACCAGGTGGACGTGCAGGTTTGGGGGTCAGCAGAGCAGACAGGTGGGAAGTGAAGTCACCAGGAAGACAGGAGGAAGGAATTAATCTCAGGGAGGATGCGTAGCGTGAAAACTACCAGGGAGGGAGGGGAGAAAAGCCAGGGCTGAGTGACCCAGATGCCCAGGAAGGAGAGTTTTAATAAGGCTGACTGTGAACCCCTGCATGTAAGGACTGAAAGTGCCCCATGGATTTAGTGACAGAGCCCCTGGGGCCAGGTTTCAGTGGTTTGGGGAGCAAATCCGGACAACAGTCCTGAGACATTTTGGAGTGAAGCTGGGGTCGAGGGGTTGAGGATGGGATGGGAGAAGCTGGAGAAGGCCTGAGGGTCTAGCTGAGTTTATTTATCCAGACTGGACAGACTTAAGCACGTTGAAATGCCACTGGAAAGGACTGGGGGTCAGAGAACCAAGACAGAAGTGAGGGCTCCCAGGAAGAGAGAGGGGCTGGGCTGCCGAGGGGCAGAAGCGGGGGTGGGGGGTAGGCAGGAGCCCGGGCCCTGGGATGCGAGGCTGCGCCCAGATTAGTTGGGGGAGGGAGAGGGGTGCCAGAGGAGGGTTGCCTGGGTCTTAATCCATGGAGGCCTCAGTAGCGGAGGGTCCCGCGGCTGGGTTACCTGCCTCTCTCGTCTCTCGCTGGGTCTCACTTAGGCCCGCTCTCCTCTCTCCCAGCTCCGTCCTCATCCCGGCCACACCCCGTACTCCCAAGGCCCAGCTACTTTACCCGAGGCCAGACAACCCCTCCCTCCCCAGGTGCTCCTCCCTGGCTCCTCCCGTGAATCCTCAGCCACTCTCTTTCCCAGTTCCGCCTCTAGCGCCTTTTCCAGCTCCTCCCACGGCGGCTCCCCAGGAATCCCCCCTCCTTCCTTCCTGCATCCGGCCCCGCCCACGGCCCCGCCCTTACCCTTCTGCGCCGGCTGGCTCCCCATGAGGTGCATATCCATTGGCTGAATTCTTTATAAGGCTCCGCCCCTAGACTTCCGCTTCTGCGATTGGGGCAGATAGCCGTCCGTCAGCGCTGTCGCCTGGCAACGGGGTGGGCAGCTCTAGAGGAGCACCTGTGGACTGCAACCGGAAAGGCAGGTCGGGTCGGCTTTGGGGGCTGAGGGTGAGGGCTTCGGTGGGAGGAAGGGTGGGGGTGTGGGAGGGGGAAGGTCGTTGGTCAGGAGGCCTGGAGGGAGCAGCCTGGCCAGCTTAGGGTTGGGGGCGATGACCCTGGTCCTGGGAACGAATGGTGCCAGAGTGGACCTGGGCCCTGCCCCTACCTGGCAGCCCGTGCCTCTCTGCCCTGCGGCGGGGTGGGGAGTGGTGGGGGGGACAGCTGCGAGGGAGGAAGAGTCTCTCCGCGTGTTGAAGCACAGAATCACTCCTCACATTCTGCTTGCCGTGTGGTTGAGATCGGAGGGTTCCGGCAGATTCTTACCCGAGGGTTCTCAGGGTGGAGGCCCGCTGTCAGAAGGGAAAGCGAGAGAGAGCTGTAGAGACGCAGGAAGAACTGGGGAGCGTCGGCGGGAGGAGGCGAGGCAGGGGGTTGTACTGGAGTGTGTGCCGGGCTGGGGCGGTCTCTCTAATGACCACAGCCTACTCACTTTGTCCCCGGAGAGTGGAGCTGGTGGCTAAATTCAGGGCAGAGGGGAGAGAAGAAAGTGCTCCTAGGCTGACACCCTGCAGATGAGCCACCGGGGCTCCCTGGAGGGAGGGAAGCCAGCACAGGGCAGGAGCGGGACAGGTCACCTTCTGGCTAGCAGGGACTCTGCACAGCTGGCGGCTGGCCCAGGCTCAAGCTGACCCTTCGTGGAAGGTTATGGGATGTAAACAAAGCTTGAAGCCGATGAGGGGCTGGGAGTCTTCGCAGAAGGGGCGTACTGATGGCCAGATTGCTGCTCCCAGGACTGTGGCCCCTTGGAGGTGGAGAGTCCAGCGTGTCCCTCGAGGACAGGAGTCCTCAGAGAGGCTCTGAAAAGAGGTGCCTGAGCCATGCTAGGATGCCAGCAGGAACTGCGGCTGATTCTGCAGAAAAACAGCTCCTGGCTCCCTCCCTAGCCCTGGGGAGCTTGTTCCTTCCAAGCTGGGCTGTTTTGTTCCAAGGCAAGAAACCTGTTGCCTTGGGCTCATGTGTCTCCTCCTCTGGCCTCCAGAAAGCCGAATTATTGATAAATGCCTGATGCTGCCTCATTTAATCCTTTCCCCTCATTACAGGGCTGGTGGCACTGTCCCTGTTTTACTAGGGTTGGAAAAGGCTTCATAACTTGCCCTCAGTCTTAACACCGACCAGTGTCAGAGCTTGGACTCGGATCTGTGCACCTTTGCTTACACCACCTGGATGCCAGCGCACTTCAGTGCCCACCCTCCCGCTCTGCCCCACGGCCCTGCATCTTTGGAAGCCAGTTTCTCATTCTCAGTCCTACTGACATTTGGGGCCAGGGACTTCTTTGTTCAGGGGGGGCTGTCCTGTGCGTTGTAGGGTATTTAGCGGCACCCCTGGTTGTTATCCTCTAGATGCCAGCAGCACCCCTCTCCCTGGTCGTGACAACCAGACATCATTGCCAGCTGTCCCCCCGGCAGACAGAACCGCCCCCAGTTGAGAACCACTGGGGTTAGCCATCTTAAAGGAACACTGAGGCGCGTCCTCTTGAAAGAGAATGTGACATACGTAAACCTGCAGGAGACTCAGGCCAGCGTTGGGTTGTTTTATGCACAGCTTGCCCGGAAAAAAAAGCCTGTGGCACATATCCAGGTGCACCCAGGACAGTCCCGTGAGAAAACCATGGCCAGGGACTGAAAGAAAGTTCAGGAATCTGGGGAGAAGTAAGGACGCATCAAAGGCCTTCAGTTCCTCCCCAAAGTTGATTAAAGAGATTTCAGGCCTGATAAAACGATGGAGTCCAGGCTGGATGAACTTGGGGACGCTGTACCACTGCCATTACTTCATCCCGCCGTGTGGAGCTCTTTAACAGGAGCAGGCTGTCCTTGGAGCTGTCTAAAGATGTGTCCTCTTACCAGTGCCCTGCGGACACCGAGAATGGTGGGCCAGGGGCCTGGGGCATGGTCTGAGAGGCTGCCCTTCCTTCCACCTTTTGTTGACTCCAGGCCTGTGGTTCCTGCTTGAGGGTGTAGGAGTTCCTCCTCCTAGAAGAAAAGCCAGTGTTGCCAGCTGCCCTGCTTCTGGGCCTTCCCTGGCATCTCTTCCAGGGGCCGCCCTGAGCCTACCACATGCGTGCTGATGGGCCGCACCTCTCCTGTGCATTTCTGCCCTATGGTCCTCCCTGTGGGCACCTCGCCCAGCTCTGGTCCTTTCTCGAAGGCATTTGGACCCTGAGGAGGCCAGGCTGCTGTTTCCAGACAACAGTGGAGGAGCCTGTTTCCGGTGGGAGGGGGCTGGGATGGGCTGGAAGTGAGTGGCTGGGTGGAGGCAGATGAGGCCGCCTTGCTCTGTAGACCCCTCTGGCCCCCTCCGCACACCAGACCTCGCCTGGACGATGTCGGTTTCACCCTGCACCTTTGTGTGCACTGTCCCTGCTTCCTGGGTGAACCACCTGTGAGTGCCGGAAAACCCAGCCAGAACATGTCCTTCGGGACATTTTCCACTCTCGCCCCATCCCTGCCGATCCCCGCAGCATTTGCTGGACGGGACGCTCCTGCAGGCCCTGGGCCTTTCTGAGGCTTCTGTCTGCTCTCCCTCTGACGGGGCCTGGCCTAGGAGACACCGAGTTATCTGTTGAAGGAATTAGATGCATGTGCTGATGTCAGGAAGGCCAGTGTGCTGGAGGGGGCAGGCCCCATGACCTCTCAGTGGCGCTGCCCCTGGTCGCCCTGATTGCTCAGTCATGGAACATCTGGGAATGTCTGAGGAGAGGCACTTACATGTTGGCAGCCTTTTAGCCCTAGACGTCCCCCTAAAAGAGGCTGGTATCCCCCGGTCGAGCGATTCCTTGGTTTTGAGAAGGAAGGATGTTTTCCCAGGATGTGGGGAGTTTGAGGTGCGGCATGTAGATGGAGCCCCTGTCCTTGCTGTGAGCTCTCCCTGGTGGCCCAGGCCTGGTGGGCCACGGGGTACAGAGGTGGGCAGGGGACTGGTCACGGGTGGTGGAGTGAGTGGCACTGATCCAAGGGGCCCTGAGTGCCTGGGGTCTGGGAGTGAGTCCCATGGGGCCCGAACGTGAGGGACCCAGGCAAGGCCGACCTCCTGGAGTTAGCACACGGGATCTCACGAGCTGGTGAGAGAACAGGCCGTCCACCCGAGGGGTGGGTGGGGAACAACACAGCCGTTGGACCGGCACGTCCCCGCGCCTGCGTGTACGAGGCTGACTCAGGTGCTGGCCAGGTGGCCGTGCGGCAGTTTCTTTAATGGCATTCAGATTCTGCAGTGGGTGAGTCAGGCGTGCAGGTGTGGGTGCCGCGCAAGCAGAGTGAGTAAGGAGGGACCTGTGTCCACGTCAGTTAAGGCAGCAGTCGGTTCTAGGAAAGTCAGGAATGCTGGGTAGTCGTGGAACCTGAGGCTGAGTAGATGATGAGGGGTGCAGAGGTGGACATGAGGGTCCTCTGAGCCAGACAACGGGCAGAAGGGAACTGTCCACAGAGACTGGTGTCTGACATTCCGAGGGGACCACACGCATCCGCCAGGTCGGCCTTGGGAGCCCACCCGGGTGGGCACGGCTGTCACCGGCCTGGAGGGTCCAGCTCTGATATGAAGCTGTGCTGACATCTCAAAAACCTTTCCCCCCAGGTGTTCAAAAGGCCGTCATCTCTTCCAGAGTTTAGGTGAGTCAGGGGCCTTCTCATGTCACAAACCTTAAGGTTTTCTAGATGAAGTGAAGAAACGTGGTGATCTTTGCTAGGAAGACCCTGAGAACGAAATAGATTTCACTAGGGTACATTTTAATTCATTTACCATTTCCAGGATTTCAGCAGGATAACAAGGGAGGGACGCAGGGACAGATCTTTTGGTGACTTGACCAATTAACACAGATTTTGAGAGAATCTTGAATTTCCCTGGTTGGAAGGGTATGACTCTAAAAATACTGTTGACTAAAGCTATCGTGATGTATCGCTAATGGAAGCAAAGCGGGGGTGAACCCAGTGAAAGCAAAATCATGCTGTGTAGACAGATCAGGTCACTGTGCGGGGTCCCAGGATAACCCGCGGCCTGCTTTCGGGTCCACAGAACGGTGCAGCGTCCTTCTTGATTATCACCCTAGCCCTTCTCTGTTCCTCCTGCATCCTCGATGAGAAGGATTAAGCTACCCAGTCACTGAATGGCATCAACCCCTTCTTTGAGCCTTCCAAGAAAGCAGCCCCCTTCACACTCTCACCGAGACCCCGTGCTTCCTCGCTGCCTTGGGTTGGAAATGCAGCTCTGACCACACGCGTACTCCTGCTTGTCGATAGCCAGGGGGCACCGACCTATTTTCTGTTGTGATTTCTCTTAGGCGTGGCTTTCAGACACTTAATACTAAGAGCACGGCTTGGCAGTTGGCAGAATATATTAAATTAACTGCAGCGTCAGTGGTGTTCGTACCTTCTTTCTGCCTTTGCTTGGCACTCTTTCCTACTCTCTTCCGGAAATGGCAGGTAGTTAAAAATCAGATGATGATGGCTCGTCTCCTCATCCACTCCTACGTGATCAGGTTGTTTCCTGGGGCTCTTAGAAAAGTTGACAAACAAGACGGGTCTGCCTTGGCATGGCTGCTTGGGCTGTGCCCCCTGGAGGGGACCAGGCACCCGGTGGTGCCACTCGCTGTATCTTAGACATGAAGACAGCCTCACGCAGGCTGGACCTTGAGCCCAGGGCCGGAAGTTTTCCTTCTTGGCTCTTAGGCTGCTGAAAAACTTGAGAATTGGAACCAGTTAGATCAGGTGGCCCGTGAGTGATAGCCCCAAACTGGGCTGCACAAGCACCCGTTTCCAGCAGCCTTTGCAAGTGCGCTACAGCTCCTGTCCAAGGAGCCCTCTGCTGGAGGCTTCCTGTTTGGGGCAGATGGGCACCCCTGCTAGAATGGCTGGATTAAAAAGATGGAAAAATAGCAAGAATGTCAGAGAGGATATGAGAAATTGGAACCTTCATGCTTTCCTGCTGGGAATGTAAAACAAAATAGTTTGGCAATTCCTCAAAAGGGAACATCAGATTATACAGCCCAGCAATTCATTCCTAGGTATAGTACCTGCCGCCCCCAAATTTGAAAGCAGGGACTCAGACAAGTACATGTACACATATGTTCACAGCAGCACTGTTCACAACACCCAAAGGATAGAAACAGCCCCAAATGTCCATCAGCAGACGAATGGATAAACCAAAGACGGTATCTCCATCTACCATAATTATTATTCACCCATAAAAAGGAGTGAAGTACGATCGTGCTACCATGCAGATGAAATTTTAAAACATTATGCTGAGTGAAAAAAGCCAGACCCCAAAGACCGTGTACTGGATGATTTCCTTTACATGAAATGTTCGAAATAGGCAAATCCACAGAGAAAGTGCATTAGTGGTTGCCAGGAGCTGAGGGATCGGGGATGGGGAATAACCGCTAATGGGTGTGGGCTGTCTTTTGGGGTGATGGAAACGTTTTAGAGCTAGATAAAGGTGGTGGTCTCACAATGTTGTGAATGTCCCAAATGCCACTGAATTGTTCACTTTTTTTTTTTGGTACCTGGAGTTTATTTTTTTTTATCTTTTGTTTTTATAAATAGATCTTTTGGGGGGAATAATCGCTTTACAATACAGTTTCTGTTGTACACCAAAGTGAATCAGCCATATGCATACATATGTCCCTATATCCCCTCCCTCTTGAGCCTCCCTCCCACCCTGCCTATCCCACCCCTCTAGGTCATCCCAGAGCACCGAGCCCATCTCCCTGTGCTATGCTGCTGCTTCCCACTAGCTAACTATTTTACATTTGGTAGTGTATATAATATGTCAATGCTACTCTCACTTTGCCCCAGCTTCCCTCTCCCACCCCGTGTCCTCAAGTCCATTCTCTATGTCTACCTCTTTATTCCTGCCATGCAACTAGGTTCATCAGTACCATTTTTTTTTTTTTTTTAGATTCCATATATATGCGTTAGAATACAGTATTTGTTTTTCTCTTTCTGACTTACTTCACTCTATGACAGACTTTCGGTCCATCTACCTCACTACAAATATCTCAATTTCGTTTCTTTTTATGACTGACTAATATTGCATTGTATCTATGTGCCACATCTTCTTTATCCATTCATCTGTCGATGGACACTTAGGTTGCTTCCATGTCCTGGCTATTACAAATAGTGCTGCAGTGAACATTGTGGTACATGTCTCTTTTTGAATCATGGTTTTCTCAGGATATATGCCCAGTAGTGGGATTGCTGGGTCATATGGTAATACGATTTTTAGTTTTTTAAGGAACCTCCATACTGTTTTCCATAGTGGTTGTATCAATTTACATTCCCACCGACAGTGCAGGAGGGTTCCGTTTTCACCAAACCTTTCCCAGCGTTTATTGTTTCTAAATTTTTTGTTAATAGCCATTCTGACCGGGGTGAGGTGATACCTCATTGTAGTTTTGATTTGCATTTCTCTAATAATTAGTGATGTTGAGCATCTTTTCATGTGCCTCTTGGCCATCTGTATGCCTTCCTTGGTGAAATGTCTATTTAGGTCTTCCGTCCATTTTTTAATTGGATTGTTTGTTTTTTTGATATTGAGCTCCATGAGCTGTTTGTATATTTCGAGATTAATCCTTTGTCTGTTGTTTCATTTGCAAATATTTTCTCCCATTCTGAGGGTTGTCTTTTTGTCTTGTGTACTGTTTCCTTTGCTGTGTAAAAGCTTTTAAGTTTAATTAAGTCCCATTTGTTTATTTTTGTTTTTATTTCCATTTCTGTGGGAGGTGGGTCAAAAATGATCTTGCTGTTGTTTATGTCAAAGAGTGTTTTTCCTATGTTTCCCTCTAAGAGTTTTATAGTGTCTGGCCTTACATTTAGGTCTTTAATCCATTTGGAGTTTATTTTTGTGTATGGTGGTAGGGAGTGTATTTCATTCTTTTACATGTAGCTGTCCAATTTTCCCTGCACCACTTATTGAAGAGGCTGTCTTTTCTCCATTGTATGTTCTTGTCTCCTTTGTTGTAAATTAGGTGCCCATATGTGCGTGGGTTTATCTCTGGGCATTCTGTCCTGTACCATTGATCTATATTTCTGTTTTTGTGCCAGTACTGTACTGTCTTGATTACTGTAGCTTTGTGGTATAGTTTGAAGTTGGGGAGCCTGATCCTTCCAACTCTGTTTTTCTTTCTCAATATTGCTTTGGCTATTTGGGGTCCTTTGTGTTTCCATACGAATTGTAATGGCATTCTAATTCTGTGAAGAATGCCATTGGTAGTTTGATAGGGATTGCATTGAATCTGTAGATTGCTTTGGGTAGTATAGTCATTTTCACAATATTGATTCTTTCAATCCAAGAACATGGTATATTTCTCCATCTGTTTATGTCATCTTTGATTTCTTTCGTCAGTGTTTTATAGTTTTCTGAGTACAAATCTTTCGCCTCTTTAGGCAGGTTTATTCCAAGGTATTTTATTATTTTTGTTGAGATGGTAAATGGGATTGTTTCCTTAATTTCTCTTTCTGATTTTTCGTTGTTGGTGTATAGGAATGCCAGAGATTTCTGTGCATTAATTTTGTATCTTGCAACCTTACCAAATTCATTGATTAGCTCCAGTAGTTTTCTGGTAGCATCTTTAGGATTCTCTATGTATAGTATCATGTCATCTGCAAACAGTGACAGTTTTACTTCTTCTTTTCCAATTTGTATTCCTTTTATTTCTTTTTCTTCTCTGATTGCCGTGGCTAGGACTTCCAAAATATGTTGAATAAGAGTGGCGAGAGGGGACATCCTTGTCTTTTTCCTGATCTTAGAGGAAATGCTTTCAGTTTTTCATCATTGAGTATGATGCTTGCTGTGGGTCTGTCATATATGGCCTTTATTATGTTGAGGCAGGTTCCCTCTTTGCCCATTTTCTGGAGAGTTTTTATCATAAATGGGTGTTGAATTTTGTCAAAAACCTTTTCTGCATCTGTTGAGATTATCATATGGTTTTTATTCCTTAATTTGTTAATGTGTATCACATTGATTGATTTGCATATATTGAAGAATTTTTGCATCTCTGGGATAAATCCCACTTAATCATAGTTTATGATCCTTTTAATGTGCTGTTGGATTCTGTTTGCTAGTATTTTGTTCAGAATTTTTGCATCTATATTCATCAGTGATATTGGTCTGTAATTTTCTTTTTTTGTGATATCTTTTCCTAGTTTTGGTATCAGGGTGAAGGTGGCTTCATAGAATGAATTTAGGAGTGTTTCTCCCTCTGCAATTTTTTGGAAGAGTTTGAGAATGATTAGGTGTTAGCTCTACTCTAAGTGTTTGATAGAATTTGCCTCTGAAGCCATCTGGTCCTGGACCTTGTTTGGTGGAAGATTTTTAATTACAGTTAAAATTTCATTTCTTGTGATAGGTATATTTTTGATCAAAAATAGTTATATTTTTTAAGATATATTTTCTAATTCTTCCTGGTTCAGTCTTGGAAAATTGTACCTTTCCAAGAATTTGTCCATTTCTTCGTGGTTGTCCATTTTATTGGCATATAGTTCTTTGTAGTAATCTCTTGTAATCCTTTGTATTTCTGCAGTATCAATTGTGATTTCTCCTTTTTCATTTCTAATTTTATTGATTTGCATCCTCTCCCTTTTTTCCTTGATGAGTCTGGCTAAGGGTTTATCGATTTTGTTTACCTTCTCAAAGAACCAGCTTTTAGTTTTATTGATCTTTGCTCTTTTGTTTGTTTCTATTTCATTTATTTCTCCTCTGACTTTTATGATTTCTTTCCTTCTACTGACTTTGGGTTTTCTTTGTTCTTCTTTCTCTAGTTGTTTTATGTGTAGGGTTAGATTGTTTATTTGAGATTTTTCTTGTTTCTTGAGGTGAGATTGTATTGCTATAAACGTCCCTCTTAGAACTGCTTTTGCTGCATCCCATAGGTTTTGGGTCGTCATGTTTTCACTGTCATTTGTTTCTATGTGTTTTTTTTTTAATTTCTTCTTTGATTTCTTCAGTGATCTCTTGGTATTTAGTAGCACACTGTTTAGTCTCCATGTGTTTGTGTTTTTTTACAGTTTTTTTCCTGTAATTGATTTCCAATCTCATAATGTTGTGGTCAGGAAAGATGCTTGATACGATTTCAATTTTCTTAAATTTTCTGAGGCTTGATTTGTGACCCAAGATGTGATCTATCCTGGAGAATGTTCCATGTGCACTTGAGAAGAAAGTGTATTCTGCCACTTTTGGGTAGAATGTTCTATAAATATCAGTTAAATCTAACTGTTCTATTGTGTCATTTAAAGCTTGTGTTTCCGTATTTATTTTCTGTTTGGATGATCTGTCCATTGGTGTAAGTGGCGTGTTAAAGTCCCCTACTATTATTGTGTTACTGTTGATTTCTGCTTTCATGGTTGTTAGCATTTGCCTTATGTATTGAGGTGCTCCTGTGTTGGGTGCATAAACATTTATAGTTGTTATATCTTCTTCTTGGATTGATCCTTTGATCATTATGTAGTGTCCTTCCTTGTCTCTTGTAACATTCTTTATGTTAAAGTCTATTTTATTGGATATGAGTATTGCTTCTCCAGCTTTCTTTTGATTTCCATTTGCAAGGAATATCCTTTTTCCATCCCTTCATCTTCAGTCTGTATGTGTCGCTAAGTCTGAAGTGGGTCTCTTGTAGACAGCATATATTTGAGTCTTGTTTTTGTACCCATTCAGCCAGTCTGTATCTTTTGGTTGGGGCATTTAATCCATTTACACTCAAGGTTGTTATTGATATGTATGTTCCTATGACCATTTTCTTAATTGTTTTGGGTTTGTTTTTGTAGATCTTTTCTTCTCTTGTGTTTCCCTCCTAGAGAAATTTCTTTAGCATTTGTGGTAAAGCTGGTTCGGTGGTGCTGAATTCTCTTAGCTTTTGCTTGTCTGAAAAGCTTTTGATTTCTCCCTTGAATCTGAATGAGATCCTTGCTGGGTAATCTTGGTTGTAGGTTTTTCTCTTTCATCACTTTAAGTATATCCTGCCACTCCCTTCTGGCCTGCAGAGTTTCGGCTGAAAAATCAGCTGATAACGTTATGGGAATTCCTTTGTATGTTATTTACTTATTTATTTTTTAATAAATTAATTTTATTTATTTATTTTTGGCTGCATTGGGTCTTCGTTGCTGCATGCGGGCTTTCTCCAGTAGCGGCGAATGGGGGCTACTGTTTGTTGTGGTGTGCGGGCTTCTCATTGTGGTGGCTTCTCTTTCTGTGGAGCATGGGCTCTAGGTGCACGGGCTTCAGTAGTTGTGGCATGGGGGCTCAGTAGTTGTGGCTCGTGGGCTCTAGAGCACAGGCTCAGTAGTTGTGGCGCATGGTCTTAGTTGCTCGGCGGCATGTGGGATCTTCCCGGACCAGGGCTCAAACCTGTGTCCCCTGCATTGGCTGGCTGATTCTTAACCACTGTGCCACCAGGGAAGTCCTGATCTCACGGCTTTGGGCAACCATGATCACAGCCGTCTGAGGTTGGGCTGTGATTATTCCCATTTTACAAACGAGGAAACTGGGGCACAGAGAGTTTTGGTCGCTTTCCCAAGACCATACAGCCAGTCAGGTGGAGCCAGGATCACAAAGGGAAGAACATGTCTAATAGCACGTCTGCTCTGTAGGTGATATTTGCAGGGTGTTGATTTTTTTAAAATACGTGTGATCATCCAGCCTTATAGATTATTTTTTCAACTCAGACTTTTAAAAAATGAATATTTAGATTGAAATCCTGATTTTTCTACATTTTAGTTACATTAGCTTAGAAACTGTTTTCGAATAAAGAAATCGACTATTGGTTGGCAATTATGAGCAGGCCTCAGGCAGTCAGAAGAATTAGAATTGGGTTTTCCCACTTTATTTGTGTCGACCATTAATTTCTGCCACACTGAAACAACATTACATAGCTCTGACGTGTTGTAGCTGCATTTTGCAAGGAGGTCAGTATTGATTACCTTGACCATGTAATTATCGATGTTTATTTTCTGTGATGATTACCTCTTGATTTCCCTGCTAACTGGGTGTGAACTTTCCTTCTGCAGAGACTCCTGCCAGCTACCAGGACAGATGGGGAATAGCAAGAGCCTCTCGGGGCAGAGTCTCTCCCCGCGGTTTCTTCCTGCGGAGCAGGCCGAGATCGACAGATTGTTTGATGGTCTGTCGTCGGCGGAACTCCGCTCCAGTACCTCGCCCAGATCCTTCTCTCTGCAGGCACTGAAGGCAAGAGTAACAGTCAGAAGTTCATGTTGAATTTGGGGAGGGGTCAGGCCAACATTGGCTGTCTGTTCCCGTAAGACAGGTGTGGGAACACGGAGGGGTGTGTTTTCTAGAAAGGGCAGATAGTACCTATTTTCAGCTTTGTGGGTTCCATGGTCCGTGTTGCAGCTGCTCTGCTCAGCCTTCGTATCACAGTGTTTGGGGGACTTTTCCCACTTGAGGTTGACTAGAGGGGCTGGCCTCTTCCTGTCTCTTGAACCACTGTCCCCGGTTTCCCTCCAGACGAGTGATAGGCTGCCCTTAGCTGTATTTGTGGGTCCAATAACTGCAAAGTTTCAAGTCCACCTTGGCCTTTAGGATTCATAAGCGTTTGACGTCCTGGGAGTTTTGTGGTTTTCCTAACAAAATAACGAAGTTTCAGAGTCAAGATTCACCTGACAACGAGTGAGAACTGCCCATTTACCCATCTTTTGGCCCCGTTCCATGGGGCTCTTAGCCACGTGTTTGGGTGGTTTGGGTGCTCAGACAGAGCGAGACAACAGCAAAGAGACCTCATCAGCCCATCCCCCTGGGCAGTGGGGAGGCGGTGCAATGTGTGATGACATTTCAGAGCCTCCTCTTTTAAATTTAGTTTTTTATCGAACTATAGTTGATCTACAACGTAGTGTTAATTTCTGCTGTACAGCAAAGTGACTCAGCTATACACATATACACATTCTTTTTTATATTCTTTTCCATTATGGTTTTTCCCAGGATATTGAATATAGTTCCATGTACTATATAGTGGGACCTTGTTGTTTATCCATCCTATGTATAATAGTTGACATCTGCTAACCTCAAACTCCCACTCCATCCCTCCCTGACTCCCCCTCGGCCTTGGCAACCACAAGTATGACCTCTTATGTCTGTGAGTCTGTTTCTGTTTTGTAGATAGGTTCTTCTGTGCCATATTTTAGATTCCACATATAAGTGACATCGTATAGTATTTGTCTTTCTCTGTCTGACTTACTTCACTTAGTAGGATAATCTCTAGGTCCATCCATGTTGCTGCAAATGGCATTATTTCATTCTTTTTTATGGCTGAGTAGTATTCCATTGTATATATGTACCACATCTTCTTTATGCATTCCTCTGTCGATGGACACTTAGGTTGTTTCCATGTGTTGGCCATTGTCAGTAGTGATGCTGTGAACATAGGGGTGCAGGTATCTTTTTGAGTTATAGTTTTGTCTGGATGTATGCCCAGAAGTAGGAGTGTGGGATCATATGGTAGCTCTATTTTTAGTTTTCTGAGGAGAGCCTCCTCTTTTAGGACATGCAGAATAGGAGCGGATGGCATTGGGGATCCCCCCAACATACTCACGTTATAGTTGAGGAAACTGGCCAGGGAGGTTATTGGGGTTACAGCTTGTGTGTGTGTGTGTGTGTGTGTGTGTGTGTGTGTGTGTGTGTGTGTATCATGTGTATCTCCACTAGACCAAAAGCACCCCAGTCTGCTGGGTCGCCCACTAAGCTGCAGCAGACAGAACAAGACAGGCCACTTAGGGACTTAACTGCTGAGTTCGTGACAACGTTCACAGGTGTTTATCAAGATAAATAGGGTGGGGCTTCCCTGGTGGCGCAGTGGTTAAGAATCCTCCTGCCAGTGCAGGGGACACGGGTTTGAGCCCTGGTCCGGGAAGATCCCACATGCCGCAGAGCAGCTAAGCCCGTGCGCCACAACTACTGAGCCTGCGTTCTACAGCTCGCGAGCCGCAACTACTGAGCCTGCATGCCACAACTACTGAAGCCTGCACGCCTAGAGCCCATGCTCCACAAGAGAAGCCACTGCAATGAGAAGCCCGCGCACCGCAACGAAGAGTAGCCCCCGCTGGCTGCAACTAGAGAAAGCCTGCGCGCAGCAATGAAGACCCAATGCGGCAAAAAAAAAAAAAAGATAAATAGGGTGAAAAGTTGGTCAGAAAACCTTGGCAACCAAATAAAGGTTCCTTTGGGAGCGAATTAGAGGTTTCTCTTCCAGTAGAACTTTGGAAACACCGACAGAAATAGGAATACTCTTTTTGAGCAATGAGGCTGGGAAACTGCTTTACAAGAAATACAGAATATTGATGTCGTCACAGACCGTGTAGACACGGGAAGTTGTTACAGGAGAGTTCAGTTTTCAGACCTTGCTGATTTAGTTCATGGTTTGTTCTCTCTCCCCCTGTATTTATGATCCCTGGACAAAATCAGATTTGATGTTGGAGTCAAAGAGAAGAGGAGATTTACAGAATGTTACTGGCAAGACGATTAAGAACTAGATTTTTTTCTTTTAATTTTTTGGCCTTGCTGTGTGGCATGTAGGATCTTCGTTCCCTGACCAGAGATTGAACCCATGCCCCCTGCATTGGCAGCGTGGAGTCTTAACCACTGGACCGCCAGGGAAGTCCCAAGAACTAGATTTTTAAAATTTTAAAAAATTTTTATTGGAGTGTAGTTGATTTACAGTGATGTGTTAGTTTCTGCTATACAGCAAAGTGAATCAGTTACACATATATCCACTCTTTCTTAGCTTCTATTCCCATATAGGTCATTACAGAATTTTGAGTAGTTCCCTGGGCCATACAGTAGGACCTTATTCGTTATCTATTTTCTATATGGTAGTATGTGTATGTCACTCCCAATCTCCCAATTTATCCTCCCCCCCTTTCCAATGCATACGGAGCACAAAGAACTCGGATTGATAACGCTAGCTAATATATTTGGAAGTCCATAGTATAGAGCACGCCAGTTTAGCACTACACAGACCGTATGTTCCATATGGAAATAAATTTAGACATGCAAATGACAGCTACTAGAATCTAGAATTGAGGAGATGTTGTAAGCAGAGTGAAGAGCAGACGATGGCCAGAGGCAGGAATGACACAGCCAGTCTGGGGAGACTGGGAAGTCTGGAGGGCAGGATGGGAACAGATGATGGAAGAGTCTGACGGCCAAGATGAGCCACGAGCCAGGACGCGTTAGGTGTGTGGGTCCTGCGGTGTCATGATGCCCTTAGGTGGGGAGAGATGGTGCATTTGGGGATCTAGGAAGGTTATGTGCTCGTAGCAGTGGTTGGTCTTTCTCCCTTAGCTATATTTCCATCATCCTGCCTCATTTCACTGGCACCCTGTCTGACCTCTTCACCTACCTGTCCCCGCAGAGCCATGTGGGGGAAGCTCTTCCCCAAGAGATGGTCACCAGACTGTTTGAGGGCATGCGGAGGGTGGACGTGACTGGGAAGACCAAGGGGCCCAGTGAGCGCATCTCCCAGGAGCAGTTCACAGTGTCCATGTCCTACCTTTTGAAAGGAAATGCTGAGGAGAAGAGTCTCGTGATCCTGAAAATGATTTCTGCCACAGAAGGTCCCGTGAAAGCAAGAGAGGTCAAAAAGGTAAGAGGCCACCAGGCCCTTTGCAGCCATCCCAAGCAGCCTTGGTATCCTTTGGTGGGGGACCCAGGACGATTAAGCAGCTGATGGACGCATTGCGCACAAGTCCACCCCGGGGGGCGGGTACCTAGACCATGTCACTGGTTGAGGTCAGAACTCCTGGGCAGAAAGGCACTGGCAATCTAGACCAGCCAACTGTGTCATTAGAAAAATGAGTAACTACCCAAGTTACATGATCTGTTCCAGATTGTGGTCCATCACAGTTGGCCTTAAGGACGTGAGACACCCTTCCCCATGTTGATATGATGTAGGCCATAGGTGACAACGGAAATGCGATTAATGGTAAAATTGCGGTCTTCAAGTTTACAGAGGACCTGGTTGGCTCTGTGGCACACGTGCTAAACTACAGACAGGAGCTGAGAGGCTGGACTCAGAAGCAAGGCCCAGGCTCCCTGTCCAGGGTGCAGGTGCTGGCTGCTCAGCTGTGCTCCGAGATGAAGCTTCAAGGCAAGTGCCCTGCCTCAGTCCTTAGACCTTGGCCTTGTAGAGTGGTACCACGCCGTCTCCATTACTGTAGGCTTGTACTGAACCTTTGAAGTCAGCAAATGTGGGTCTTCCAACTTTGGAGGACTATTTAGATTATTTAACCGTGGGCAGTCGTTCATAGTATTCCCTTATAATCCTTATTTCTGCAGGGTCAGTAGTGACGTCCCCACTTTCATTTCTGATGTTAGCCATTTGATTCTTCTCCTTTTTTCTTGGTCAGTCTAGCTAATGGTTTGTTCACTTTTTGTTATTTTCAAAGAGCCAACTTTTGGTTTTATGGGTTTTCTCTGTTGTCTAATCTCTATTTCATTTATCTTCATCCAAGTCTTTTATTTCTTTCTTCTGCTTCTTTTAGATTTAGTTTCGGTTTCTTTCCTTTTTTTAAAAAGAAATTTTATTGAAGTATAGTTGATTTACAATGTTGTGTCAATTTCTGCTGTACAGCAAAGGGACTCAGTTATATATATATATATATATATATGAATATATACATTCTTACTCTTTTTAAAAAACATTTATTTACTTTTGGCTGCATCAGGTCTTAGTTGCAGCACGCAGGATCTTTCATTGCAGTGTGCGGGCTTCTCTCTAGTTGTGGCACATGGGCTCAGTAGTTGTGGCACATGGGCTTAGTTGCCCCACGGCATGTGGGTTCTTAGTTCCCTGACCAGGGATTGAACCAGAGTCACCTGCATTGCAAGACCTGCATTGCAAGTGATTCTTAATCACTGGACCACCAGGGAAGTCCCTATATTATTATTCTTTTCCATTATGGTTTGTCACAGGATATTAAATATAGTTCCCTGTGCCATACAGTAGGACCTTGTTTATCCATCCTATATATACTAGTTTGCCTCTGCTAATCCCAAACTCCCAATCCTTCCCTCCCCTCCCCTACCTCCCCCACCTCCCCCTTGGCAACCACAAGTCTCTTCTCTATGTCTGTGAGTCTGTTTTTGTTTCGTAGATATGTGTCATATTTTAGATTCCACATATAAGTGATATCATATGGTATTTGTCTTTCTCTTTCTGACTTACCTTTCTTAGTATGATAATCTCCAGGTCCCTCCATGTTGCTGCAAATGGCATTATTTCATTCTTTTTTATGGCTGAGTAATATTCCATTATATATATCTGCCACATCTCCTTTATCCATTCATCTGTCCATGGACATTTAGGTTGTTTCCATGTCCTGGCTATTGTAAATAGTGCTGCAGTGAACACTGGGGTCCATGTGTCTTTTTGAATTACGGTTTTCTCAGGGTGTATGCCCAGTAGTGGGATTGCTGGGTCATATGGTAGTTCCATTTTTAGTTTTTTAAGGATCCTCCATACTGTTCTCCACAGTGGCTGTACAATTTACATTCCCACGAACAGTGCAAGAGGGCTCCCTTTTCTGCACACCCTCTCCAGCATTTGTTGATTTTAGATTTTCTGATGGTGGCCATTCTGACTGGTGTGAGGTGGTACCTCATTGTAGTTTTGATTTGCATTTCTTTAATAATTAGCGATCTTGAGCATCTCTTCTTGATCTGTATGTCTTCTTTGGAGAAATGTCTGTTTACGTCTTCTGCCCATTTATGAATTGGGTTGTTTTTTTGTTGTTGTTGAGTTGTATGAGCCATTTGTATATTTTGGAAATTAAGCCCTTGTTGGTCATATCATTTGCAAATATTTTCTCCCAGTCTGTAGGTTGTCTTTTTGTTTTGTTTATGGTTTCCTTTGCTGTGCAAAAGCTTTTAAGTTTGATTAGGTCCCATTTGTTTATTTTGGCTTTTATTTCTTTTTTTTTTTAAGGTTTTCAAAATAACATTTATTTCTTAAAAGTTAACATGTGCATAATAGGAAACCAAAGAACACAAGAAGCAAAAAACAGTCATTTATCATCACAAGCAATTTACCATTTGATGTGTCCTTCTAGGTCTCGTTTGTGTATTTAAACACAACTAAGCATTCATTTTTATGTAATTAAGATCATACAGTTATGTATCATGCTTTTTCACACATCATGAATATTTACCATTTCAAAGTCCCAAAGCTATGAGTATTTTGATAACCAAAAATACACTACACCAACTCAATCTGGAAGGAAAAAAATGTAATCCTTTCTTGGCGACAAAAACTTCAGAAAAGACAAAAATGGCAACAGGCCTCTAGATAAAGATATTGGCAGAGTTATGATTAAAATACTACATTCCCTTAACGTTCAATTAAAAATGAGACATAAAGCAACAGAGTACCCAAAGTATAATGCTTTTAAGAGGATTCATTATCTGATCTAAACTATTAAAGTATTAGCAAGGAGGTATATTTCCACTGAATTACTTAACAATGTATTCCTATAGTACAGCTAAGAGATGCACACACATCAATGGTTATCATCAAAATATAAAAAGGAATACATCCACATACTTCCCTCCCTTTTATACTTCCTTCTGCCCCTCTGCTGCCAACCTAATGAACAAGTCCTGGTGTACATTTCTCAGATGGTTTAACAATTCCATGTCCAAGATGCTACTTTTTTACCAATTATAACAAAGATATTTACAAATTGGTTAATTCACTAGCTCTACTTTTTATCATACATTGTCACCTCAGGACTCCTAAAAAGCCTAGATGTTGCAAAATAATGAATGAACCTTGTCCATAGTAAGCATTGGTACTTTACAAAAATGCACATTTAGACCTATGGTTATAACCTAAAACTGTCTTCTAGATATGGAGATATTAGCTAAGAGCCCTTCCCTTCACCCTTCCTCTCACCCATCCTCCAGCATATCAGCAACTAAGTACAGGACTATATCTAGCTCCAAGAGGTGGATTAACATAGACGCTCCCAGAAGACACAGCCCTTCCTAAAAACCAACAAAAGGGCATTTATTAAGGGGTTATTTTACTACCTCTACTTTTAATATACTTTGGGCATTAGGACTTGCTTATTCTTTAATACACAGCAATATTAACTAAAACACACAAATAGAACAATGGTTAGACAATCTGAACTTGTCTAAAGACTCATGGGCACAGATCCCTTCTCTGTACTTCCTTCCCTGTCTGCTCCCCGCCTCCCCACCACCCAGTGAATAGTCAGCTTACGCTCCAAGACTCAAGTTTAACAATTTCCACTCCCCCAATACAACCATTCCTATGAATTAACAGAAAAAAAATACTTTAAAAGGTGTTACTTTTAACTCTCTATTTTCAACATATGTTGTGTACTTTTACACATCTAGAAAGATTAGATGTTTCAAATACAGATTTAAGTTTGTCCACTATGTATACACGTAGTAGCACTGAAGAAACTGCACACAAAGGCTATAGTCACAAAGTGTCTCCTAAACAGGAACACTCTGGCCTAGAAGCTTCCCCTTCTCATCTCTATCAACCCGGTGGACAAGAATAAGCATCTGTAATGCTTAGAGGGGATTTTAACAATTTTACTTTCTCCAGTTGTTTTCAGAAGTCTTTCCTATGAATTTTAACACAAAGTGTACACAATGTATTTATCGGCTATTTTTGTCATACACTGGCAACCTCTTTAACATCTAGGAAGACTAGATGTTGTAAATTTGGACCCTCTGTCCTTTATGTACACTATGTACACAGCCAAGTAAAACAAAATGCAGAGACACACCAGACAATGGTTAGTCTTGGTATAAAGCCCTTTACACTTTCTTCTTTCTCCCTGAACCAGCACAAATAAAATAATGTGTACTGCTCAGAGAGGTGGTTTGATCATTTTGATCACTCCATTTCTAAAAGACAGTATTTCATATGAATTTTAACAAAAGGATATATCTACAAAATATGTTACTTCACTACCTCTACTTTTAACATACTTTGTGCACTTCTAAACATCTAGAAAGACTAGATGTTTCAAATAAGGACTAAAGTTTGTCCACTATATACACAGTAGTGTTGAATAAACTACACACATGTAACAATGGTTAGATCTGAAAGTGTCTTCTACATAGGGACATTCTAATCTAGAACACTTCATTTCTCCCAGTACCTCCTTTCTGCCATCCATCCAACATTGGGCAAGTACAGGCACAGGTGTCAGGCGCAGGTGTCACTTAGATGTGATTTACAATTTCACTTCCAAAGGCCCTTTTCAGAAGACGGCTTTTCAATGAATTTTAACACAAAGTGTACAAAATGTGTTAGTTTACTAACTCTACTTTTGTCATACATTGGCAACCTCTTTAATATCTAGAGACTAGATATTATAAAATGGGGACCCATTGGTCCAGTATATACAAAATATATACAGTAAAGTTAAACAAAATGCATGTAACATATAGAGCAATGGATAAGTTGAAATGTTCTAGTACCTGCTAGCAAAACATCTTTTGCAATCTTCCCTCCCACCTCCCTAAATCCAATGAACAAGCACAGAGTATACTGTTCAGAGAGGAGGTTTAACAATTCCATTTCCAAAGACAGTATTTCCCCAGTTTTTAAAAGCTATTTACAAGAAGCATTATTCTACTAAAACTACTTTTAAATACATCAAGCACTTCTAAACATCTAGAAAGAATAGATATTTCATATAAGAACTTACTTGTCCACTATGTACACAGCACTGTTAAATAAAATTGCACACATGTAACAATGGTTATAATCTGAGGTATCTTCTAAATATGACCATTTTGGCCTGAACCATTTCCTCCCTCACTTCCTTCTCTCCACCACCAATCCAGTGGACAAGTACATGCATATGTAATGCTTAGAGGTGGTTGAACAAATTCATATCCAAAAGTCATTTACAGAGGACAAGCTTTCCTATGAATTTCAATAAAGGATACAAAATGTGCTAATTTTACTACTTTGTCATACACTGGCAACCCCTTTAACGTCTAGAGACTAGATGTTGCAAAACTAGGACTCAATTTGTCCATTATATACACTATATACACAGCAAAACAAAATGAACATACAAAAAATGGTTTTGTCTGAAA